AAGTGAAGTAGCCACTAGTTTCAACAAACAATTCAAGTTTTAAACTTAACATCTAATCTGCATTCATTAAAAAATAAAAATATCGACTAGCAAATTGTGTAGTGAATTAGCCGAAACCACCCAACTGGGAAAATTTGGTTGAAACCGAACCCCTTTCAACAAAGGAATATGAGGAAAAGCACACGAGTTAAAAAAGCAAGAGTGCATAATGAACATAAAATAAGTTAAGGAAAGTTAATATGTGTAGCCCATGAGGAGTATTGTGAAATACTTAGAAATCCTTTTGCATAGCAATATCCAAAATTATTTACAGTCAGATTCTTCTTATGATCTTTTTAAGATATCTGACGTTGTTAGTAAGATCAACTGACTATGAAACAGTACTTAATGATCTATTTTAATGATAAATTTATCCTTATGTGTGTAGCTATACAGATCTAAAGAATAAGCAAGACCATCAACAAATGAGCCTACCCAAGTCGCTTCAGAGTCTTGACGTCGACCTGCAGGTCGGGGAGGGATTTTGTTCCTAGGATCCTGAGTGCTATCACCACCTCTTCCATAGATTGGAATCACCTAAAACAGAAAGTAAAGTAGCAAATTAAGTAATGAGCCATTACAACCCAGTCAATTAATGCATAAAAAGCCTGCAGGACAACCATTTGTCAGCTAAGAGCTAGAGTTAACCTAGCTAGCATATGAGGAAGGATTGATAGTTGGATTGTCTGAAAATAATATGTCTCATAATCAATTAAGTTGTGCATAGCTTTGTCTCCACAAAGGTGCCCTCAATAGAGTGTAATGCAGTTTTGAAATCACCTGGGCATCACCAACACCGTCAGAGTTAAACTCGAATAATTAAGCAAATATATTCGGCATTTTAGCACTACGCCACACTGTCATAAGCGCCGATTGATAAAATGGGGGTCTTGATTTTCAAGGCAATAGGTCTCGTTAATATCACATTTCTAATCGAAGGTAGGAAGACCAGGATGGTGTAGTCTATTGTGTGGTAACAGTCTCCTTTCGTTGTATAGGAGTTGTTTGACCTTGTTTTCGCTACTTTGTCATATAAGCAGGAAGACCTATAGGAAGGCACCTAGTCTGGAGTCCATAGTATGCATAATAAGTTCCAGAGTCGGAACGTGTACTTGGTACATTCCCAGACGTTTCGTCGGCACTGTAGTCGACATCATCAGTGAGTCTTATCATTCGTAGCACGACACTACAACGCATCAGAGACAATTGTCTGCTAAACAATCGTGGTATCTCTTCTTCCGCCCCGGACTAATCACCACTCCTATGTCCTCGTATCACACCTTCATTATCACAATTTTTACTTACTAATTATAATGTGGTATGGTGTGCCCTTTTGAGGGGTTTTCATGATAACTCTCCACACTCCACTTCCCATTAGAAATGTGATATGAATAGTCTGATTCGCCCAAATCATGTATAGCCTGTAATCAACTGGCACCCGTGGCAGTGTGGCGTAGTGTAAACTTGTCAAAATAAACGCTGCACTATCTAGATTCGATTGTTGTTGGAGGTGCTGATGGAAGCCAAAAGAAATCTAAAATGCAAACATGAATGGCGGAATCTTTTGGAAAAGGTTAAATGAAACTTAATGACACTATGAGGCCTATTGTGACATGACTCTCCATTTGGAAAGAAGAAATTCGTGATGCGATTGCGAAGAAGTCCTCGGCTCAACGTCCATTCAGGGTGTTGATCTAGAGTTAATTTTAAAGGTTTCAATGCCTCATTTATTAAATGGTAGTTTACATACACAATACATTGAAACTTACGATCAATTCTCTTCTCTATCTATCGTCTGATCATCAAGTAACTTAATAAAATCGTAAGAATTATTTGCTGAAAACTTGAAGTTTAGGAGATTTGTTTCAACTGAGTACATATAAATCATGATGTTTTATGTAGCACGTAACCTATATTATTTGCAATAATCCTAAGTGGGTACCCTGCTTATGAATTTTTGGCAGACCATACATATTTGGGGGTCTAGCATCTCGTTGAAGAAGTGCATTAACTAACCACTCTTCAGATTCTCCAATGTTTACATAATGTCGCAGAAGACACTTAAGCCTAGCAGTAAGGCCGTCCCTAATTATAGTATTAAATGTTCTATCATCGTCTAATGTCTCAAATATTTTCTCAACAAAATCAGTCCTATCCAGAAATATTATCGCTCATCTTTTATCAGGCCTTAGTACTAATTGCTAATTAGCCTAAAACTTCCTCATAATAGTAATACCCGTCGTATTCTTATGTGGTGATTTTACATAACGAGAAATGTAGAGGGATAATGTTGAGCTTACTTCCATTTCGAGTGAAAGTATTTGGTGAAGAAATTCAGAAGTCGATTTTACCAGAAGACGGCGGTGGAATCCTTTTGACCAGCTGCGATTGGCTTTACTGGAATTTTCATGTTGACGCCCTTTACGAGGTAATCACCTTCAATTCCGGTGAAAACGTGTTAAGCTTTCGTCCGTCAAAGGAAGATCATCATCAGAGCAAGGCATAATCCTTGCAATAAAATGCAAGCTAACGAGTCAAGAAAACTCACCGGCACATCTCTAAAAAGCTGTATATAAACTTTATATCTGGCCTCTTAGATAAGGTATAAAGTGATTTGGTTAGTTACAGTCATATGTCAACCTCGAAGCAGGAGTGTCTGTTTGTGTATATGCATATGCCCGTGTGCGTTCGCCTATGTACGAAACCAGAATAGATGGCTCAAAGTAATTAGGACAGTAAGGTTAACGTCTGTTTTCGGACATCAAGGTTTGATGACCACTTTCTCCCATTTTCTACATATATTTTATAATTATCACTCCGATTGCGCAAGGTCTGACACGCGTCTGTATATTTTGAAAAGCTTTTTTTTGACTTCATGTGAGAGAGAAAGTGGGCTAAAAAAACACAGAGAAGTGGCTATAATTAGAACCCAAACAAGAAAATGCTAGTTGAGTCGCCTCATTTTTGCAGGCGGCTCAACACCA